GGTTTGGCATAAGTTCTTCTAATTTTCTTTCACTTTGAAGTGTTCCCCCCTCCCCATTCTGTAATTTTGACAAGAGTTTCCTTTTCATTTTGACTTAACAGGCATTCCACCACAACAAGGGATTTTGTGATCCTAATCTTCTAATTTAGTTACTGTGTATCTGTAAAGTACACTTGTATTTCATTGCTGTATCTCCAATACTGCTACAGCTATCGTTAGTTACTTCATATCTAAAATCTGATTTTGTTCTTTAGTTTTCAGTTCATTGAAGTTCAATTTAGCTTTTCTACTGAAACAAAAGAAAAATTTCCATGGTCATAAAAGTAGTAACTGGGAATGAGTATTTGGCACAGTAGTTTGTTTCTTAATATTCTCCTTGTGTGTGAATTTAAAATAAAATATATTGTTTATAGGAGCCTTCAGCTCAGAAAGTAAACAAAGGTTTCTTTAAACATAGCCTCATGAGCAACTATAATGCAGAGTAGGAAAGAAGGATGGGAACATTAACATTATACTCTACAATGTGTAATCATACATTTTGAATAAACAACAGAATTACCATAAAAGCCAGGGTCAGTGCCTTGATAGGTCACAGGACGTCAGGGTCTGTCACTCAGAGTCACCCTGCACAATGAAAATGTACTAGAAATAATGTTGACTTCAAGCCTTTCTTATGCTGTGGCAGTAAAATCTGAAGCCAAGAATGACCATTTTAACTGAACATTTCTCCCAGCTATAGAAAAGCTGCAAACACCAGTGTAGGACAAACCCAGTTCCACCTGCTGGCAAAAGCAGCTATCACCAACACAGTTTGGTCATCAGCTATGAAAGATGCATTTTCCTGCCTCTGTACTTCATTCAAATTTAATTTCCATGTTGTGCCATAAGAAAAGAGCTTTTTGTTAACAAAAATAAACCAGGCAGCAGCTGATAAGGATGCAAAGAGGAAGGAAAAATAAAAATGACTATAATGGGGTTTGTAAAGTAATTATAATAATAATAATAATAATAGCAATACATAGTAACTTCCACCAAATCTCAACTCTCTGTAAGATAGATAATATTATCTCCATTTCAGAGATAACTGAACTGAGGCCTGTAGAGGTTATGTGACTTGTCCAAAGGTAAAAGTCAGGAAAAAACCTCGGAAGTGAAAATCCTGGCCCCTATTGAATCAGTGGCAACAGACAATGTAACCAGAATTTTGCCTCGGGATCCCTGACTCTGAGTATATTACTCTTACCACTTAACACACCATTTCTCTTTTTTAACTGTCATAGCTCCTACTTATTTAAGGTAGTTGATGCACAGACAGCAGTGAGTCTGGTAACTGGGGAGCCATCAAGGGTGTTGCCCACAGCTAAAGCTGATCTGGAACACTCCTGCATGTCTGAAATTAGGTTCTGTTGTAGATTTTGTTTTAGTACCCAGTCTAAATACCATACAGCTCTTGCCATAGAATCACAGAACACGAGAACTGGAAGAGACATCGAGAGCTCATCAAGTCCAGTACTCTGCCCTCATGGCAGGACCAAGCAGTGTCTAGATCATCCCTGACACGTGTTTATCTAACTTGCTCTTAAATATCTCTAATGATAGAGATTCCCCAGCCTCTTTAGGCAATATATTCCAGTGTTGAGTCTAGGCCATTATCCACATTGTGGAGACAGAGAAATTAAAGCATTGATGTTAAGTGAGTTGTCCAAGACCAGAGAGGTAAATGAGCATCCAAAGTATTTGTAGAACCCCGCAAATCCAGGATATTCACTTTATATTCACAGGTATCCATCTCTGCAGATGTGGATGTAGACAGCCGCAGGTCATTTTTGTGGATACTGATACGGATGCAGATACAAAATTGTGCGTCTAGGCAGGGCTCTAAGTATTTGTCGAACTCATGAGTTTTAATTGCCAGTTTTGAAGTCTAACTACTAAAGCATGGCTCATTCTCAAAGGGCACGTGTAGACAGCTGGGCAAAAGTCAAATTAAGCTACTCAACTTCAGCTACATCAATTGCATAGCTAACGTCAAAATAGTTTAATTCAGCTTTTGGTGCTGTCTACACAGCAGGAAGTTGAACACTCTTCCTTCAGCTTCCCTTACTCCTCATACAATGAGGCTGTGTCTAGACTGCATCCCTTTTCCCTTTATGGAAAAGGGATGCAGTCTAGACACAGCCTTAGATTATATGTCTGCTGACAGAGGCATGTAAAATAGGCTACCCGACATAACCAATAAAGCGGGGATGTAAATATCCCCGGCTTCATTAAAATAAAAATGGCCATCGCGCTGTGCCAGCTCAGCTGATCGTCGGCACAGCACACGAGTCAAGACGTTTCACAAGGCATAAGGGAGCAGTGGACAAAGGCTTCCCTTGTTGACCGATCTGCGTCTTGACTGACGCGCTGTGCCGACGATCAGCTGAGCTGGCACAGCGCGATGGCCATTTTTATTTTAATGAAGCCGGGGATATTTACATCCCCGCTTTATTGGTTATGTCGGGTAGCCTATTTTACATGCCTCTGTCAGCAGACATATAATCTAGACATACCCTTGGAGTAAGACTTCCCCCAGCTCGCCATTATTTCGAAATAATGGTTTGCTGTGGAGCCATGCTCTTGCTTATTTTGCAATAACAGTTATTCTGAAATAACGCTGCTGTGTAGACATACCCATATGGTTTCCTTTCTCAGAAGGTTTCATCCTGCAAAATTAGATTCTATACCCTTGTTGGAACAAGTTACTACACACCAAAGGTGCATCTACACTGCACCATAACTCAAAATAAGGTACACAATTTGAGCTACACAAATTGCATATCTTATTTTGATACTCTTTCGAAATAGCTTATTTAGTCCTTTGACACTATCTACATATTGCCAAATTTCAAAATAAAGCCCTATTCCAAAACATCCCTTACTCCTCGTAGAGTGAGGTTCACAGGGATATTGGAATAGTGAGCCCGAAATAACAGGCTTGCTGTGAAGACACGCTATAGCTATTTCGGGATACTCCAGTATCCCGAAATAGCATTGCAGCGTAGACGTATCCCAAGAGTACTTCCAACTTTCCCCCTCATCTAACAGTACTGAAGCACAAACATATAACAACATGTAATGCTATAATTAACCATAAATCTCTGCTTTGAACCAAAGGAGCTCTCACATAGTACACTGTTTCAGAGGTAGCCGTGTTAGTCTGTTTCAGCAAAACAGCAAAGAGTCCAGTGGCACCTTAAAGACTAACAATTTTATTATGGCATAAAATGGTTAGTCTTTAGGGTGCCACTGGACTCCTTGTTCTAGTACACTGTGTCACTGAAGGGCTGGAACAAGAGCACAACTATCACCGAATCCACCTTTGAATGAGTTTCTGTCTGTGTGTGATGTGCTTGCTTTTTTGGTCTAACCCACAAGTTTGCATTTGTATGGTTAGCTGCGAATCATATATTATTTACCAACATCATCATGAAAACGCCAGGATCTGGCAGTGCTCCAACTGACAATTGAACAGCAGAGACTGTGTGTTTAATTTAGGCAACAGTACAACCACGCTTTAAAATTCTGACCTTTGAATGGTATACATTTGAACTGGTCAGATAAAATTGTTATTTCTCAAGGCTTTTGTTTAATAACCTCAAAATTATTGGCGGTTAAGAAGGAAACAGAAGCCAAATGCTACCCCAAAAAGGTGCTTATTCTGCAAAGTGCGGAGCACTCTCTGTTCCCAGACTTATCTCTACCTAAGCATTTTTACTGCCCTCATTCATCAGTGTCTGAGCAACCTCTGTGCATGTCAAAGTAGAGATAACAATAGAATCTTCCTGTGTTTGTTTGCTTGTTTGTTTTTGTCTTCCAACAGCCTGTTGGGAAAATATAAAATAGTTTATAGGAAGTAACTTTGTTTACGTTCAAGTGTGAGCCAAGGAAATTGTACCGACAGGAAGCTAAGTTGAAGAAATGAGTATTGCATTTTGTTATGGAAATGTGACATCAGTGGCTGTTCTTGTCTCCTGTGGGGATTAGTTCCGTAATCTAGCTCCAATTCCTGTGAAGGTTTGGCTTCAGCACTTAAGAGAACCTCTCCTGGCTGGTCAGGAACTTCATTGTTTGTGCAGATGGTAGCTGGAAGAGAGGTATGGTTGCAGAAGGAGAGGTGATCTCCTTGACAGTTAGGGACAATCTCATGGAGAACCTTGAATATCGGAAAGAAGCCTTGAATTGAATTCTATATTCACTGGGTACACAGAATGTCCATTATTTCTATCAATGGCAGCTGACGATGTTGAACACTTCGTAGGACTTCCTTCCTTCCTGAGCTTCTTCATATTTTTTAAGTTGCACCATTTTTACAAGAACAACGAGAAGTCCTGTGGCACCTTATAGACTAACAGAGATATTGGAGCATAGGATTTCGTGGGCAAAGACCCATTTTGTCAGAGGAAAGTAGGTCTTTGCCTATGAAAGCTTATGTTCCAATATATCTGTTAGTCTATAAGGGTGTCCATCAATAGAGCCATGTAGATTAGGCTGATCGGTGAAGGGAAATGAAGCCGCGATTTAAATAACCCGCGCTGACCTGAAAACCCTTTATTGACCTCCCCATCATGCCTCGTAGGATGAGGTTTACCGAGGAGGTCGATAAAGGGCTTTCATGTCGGCAGGGGAGGTCCAGACTAGCGCGCTGAGCCGACAAACAGCTGATCAGCTGTTTGTCGGTTCAGCGTGGCAGCCATTTAAATTTAAATGAAGCCACGATTATTTATATCGCGGCTTCATTTCCCTTTGCCGAACAAACAAATCTACATGGCTCCGTCGATGGAGCCATGTAGTTTAGACATACCCTAAGGAACAACAGGACTTCTCGTCATTCTTGCAGATTCAGACTAACATGGCTAATCCTCTGACACTTGTCACCACTTTTGCAATCTCTCATCCTCTTCATCCTCACTCAGTGTCAGTCTTCTATTGCCTATTTATACCTCCTGTTCTCTCCGCAGGCACTGGGTTCATGGTTGCTGGGAGAATACAACAGGGAAAGTGGAACAGGATCTGAGCGGATGGTTACATCTCTCTCAGGCTGAATTCCACAAGGGAAACAGGAATCTTCAGCAGTAAGACTGCCTGCTCCTGCCTCCATGCCTGAAAATCCTCAAGAGGGAAGGAACTACCACGATAATCTTCTGTTTGGTGCCTTGGTCCTAAGTCCTTTCTCCTGTCTTCAACCTACATGACTGTTTGGGGGATGAGAAAAGGTGGGAGTCCCAGTTAATGTGCAACCAGATGAACCTTTCCACTTCATTCCATGGAGGAAGTAAGGTGTATCTCCAGCAGAAAAAGCTATGACGCCCCCATTCCCAAGCTTCACTGCCTGGAACTCCCTTTGGCTGCAGCAGTCAGAGGGGATACTATGCAGTGTGTTGAGTGGAGCACAGCTTGCACGTGCTTGTCTCCCCCTCATCTGTCCCTCCTCCTGGGGAGGAGAAATGCACATATCAAAGAGACCTTCTATGAACTGATCTGAGGGCGCACCCTAGAACAGAATTTTCTGAAGAAGGATCTTAGATTCCTACCACGAACCTAACAAAGCTGCACAGAAATCTCACACTGAAAGCACTGGCTTTCTATACCTCATGACTAAGGCTAAGATTTAGTCATGGGTATTTTTAGTAGAAGTCAAGGAAAGTTCACAGGCAATAAACAAAAATTCCCAGCCTGTGACCTGGCTTGACTTTTATATTTAAATATTCCCAACTAAAACTTGTGGGGTCCCAAGACACCACTGCTCGGGGTGAGGGGGAGGGCAAGCAGGGGCTGATGACTATCCCTTACACTGGCAGTGGGGACTGACTATCCCCAGTCAACCACTGCACTGAGGTCCCAGAGATCACTGCTCTAAAGGCCTCCGGGGTGACCCTTGGAGCCGCTGCTGCTGGGGTGGCCCTGGGGTCAGATGCACTGGCCACTGGAGCTGCTAAATTCAGAGAGATCATGATCCATGACTCTGTGACAGAATCACAGCCGTAACCATGACTAAATCATAGAGCTGGAAGAGACTTCAGGAGGTCATCAAGTCCAGCCCTCTGCCCAAGGCAGAACCAATCCCAACTCAGCCAGGGCTTTGTCAAGCCGACTTAAAAACCTCTAGGGATGGAGATTCCACCACCTCCCTAGGGAAACCATTCCAGTGCTTCACCACCTTCCTAGGGAAATAGTTTTTCCTAATATCCAACCTAGACCTCTCCCACCACAACTTGAGACCATTGCTCCTTGTCCTGCCATCTGTCACTACTGTGAACAGCCTTTCTCTATCCTCTTTGGAACCTCCCTTCAGGAAGCTGAAGGCTGCTATCAAATCCCCCCTCACTCTTCTCTTCTGCAGACTAAACAAACCCAAATCCCTCAGTCTCTCCTCATAGGTCATGCACTCCAGCCCCCAAATCATTTTGGTTGCCTTCTGCTGGACCCTCTCCAATGTGTCCACATCCTTTCTATAGTGGGGGGCCCAGGACCGGACACAATACTCCAGATGTGGCCTCACCAGAGCCAAATAAAAAGGAATAATCACTTCTCTAGATCTGCTGGCAATGCTCCTCCTAATGCAACCTAATATACCATTAGCCTTCTTGGCTATAAGGGCACACTATTGACTCATGTCCAGCTTCTCATCCACTGGAATCCCCAGATCCTTTTCTGCAGAACTGCTACTTAGCCAGTCAGTCCTCAGCCTGTAACAGTGCTTGGGATTCTTCCGTCCCAAGTGCATATATAATAGACAGGTTGATCAAATAGGCAAACAAAACCACCCTGTTACAGACACATTGCAACATGATTACAATGTACAGGCAGTCCCCGAGTTACGGCGGGACCATGGCGCATCTGGGCGTCCCGCTGCTCGCGTCCTCCAGGGCGAGAAAAGCTGCTCCGCGTCTCCGTGGTATGCTGGGGGGGAGCCCCCCCAGCAGACTAGGGAGACGCGGAGCAAAGCCGCGGGCCGTGGAGGACGCGGGCGGCGGGGGCGCCCCCGCGCCGCTCGCGGGGGCTCTCG